CAGTCAAGCATCAGCAAATTTAACAGCAGTTTGTATGATTCTCAGAAAATATTCATTGAGTATGCCTGGTTTCCTACTCCACTGAACCAAAAGATAAACGTCTATTATTTTAAGCCACTGTGATTGTAATAATCAAAGAAGACCTTAAGTAAATAGATATATATTCTCTGATTGAATTATCAATGGCACCATTCTCTTTGACAATATGTCAGTTATGAATCTCTAAAAGACAAATTTAAGTTGCTTTCCTCGGCTGGGGGGACTAGGCATGTAGGAGACAGAAAAGGAAAAAAATCATTTACTATATATACTGTTGCATGTTTTGCATGTTAAATCAGGTGAATATAGTAAGATACATGAAGTTTTAAGGAAAATAATTCAGATTACCCTCATAGAATAAAAGAAATTTCACAACTAGGTTATGAATTGTGTCCTCATAAGCCAATTCTGATGGATCAAGTTGCTAGAGATTTTATAAAATAACTGGGTTAAGAAAACATTTCTTGGGCCGGGGAGATGGCTCAGTGGAATAAGCGGTTCTTTGGCAAGTGCAAGGGCCTGAGTTCAATCCCCGGTTCCGCCAAAAAAAAAAAAAAAAAAAAAAAAAGAAAACATTTCTTACCTTTAGCTTTTTCTTTAAAATACTGTGATATTAATTAGCAAGAACATTATAGAAAAAACTATATATAGGTACAAAAAATTTAAGGTTACTATTGGATTTTACTTGAAACAAAATGTAGACAATTCAGTGCTTTCTACATTACACTGCACAATATATGATCAGTGATAGCAAGCCATTAATATGCCTGAAATATAAATTACTTCTTTTATTCTTAACTAGATCAAGCATCAAAGAAATCAAGATGAATGTTTTTCTAAATTTTTGGGTAAGTACATTTGAAATGGGTCAAAAAGTCATATATGATAGAGAAGCTGTATTTGGAGAAGTCTTTAAAGAACCTTTTCATACTTGATGCCAGTTCAAATATTATAGGTACTTGAATTCAGCAGAATAACCCAATACAGTCCAATAGTCCATAATAGTGGTGGGTTATCAACAGAACTGGCAATTGTCAGAAGTTGTTGACTAAAGTCTTTTACAGCTCAGCATAGTAATATGGCACTGCTTTTTATACCTCATGGTTATACTTTTCTGCTGGATGGTTAAGACCAAGTTAAACCAAAACCTATATAAGTAATAATGTAACTTTTGTATCTGAGAAGGTCAGCCAAATCCCCTCAGGATTTACCCTGAAACCATGTATAGTAGCTTGTAGATCTTTTGTCAGTGTCAGCCATGTAGATGAGTCACGGCCATTGCTTGACCATTTTGCTCTCTGTGAAAGCCTGAGAGAATTTTTTTCTCCCTAGGTGACTCCTTAAGCACACTGTACTCTCTGACAAAACAAAACCAAAAAGGGGGATATAAATGAAGGACCATTTTTTAGCGAAAAAAATATATATGTATGTATACACAAAATAGGATAGATATACAGTTATTTTCTTTTAGTTCAATGACAAGAAAGATTTATGTTAATATTGTTTAGACAAGATATCATGTCTGCATCTTGTACTCTGAATAACTACTAAGAAGACAACAATATGCAATGTATTAATTTTTGTAACTGTCCTACTAATCTGTTTTGAAACAGTCTCATTGCTATTTATTTCTCATTAAAATTAATAAAACTCTGGGGCTGGGAAGATGGCTCAGTAGAATAAGTGCTTCCCTGGCAAGCACAAGGGCCTGAGTTCAACCCCCAGTTCCGCCAAAAAAAATTAATACAATGTTTTTAAAAGTCATATATGAGAAATAAATGGAAATTGAAACCTATTTTTCAATAAGCTAAGACTGGTTTATGCCTTCAAACACTAAGGTAAAAATGAACAATTATTTATAACATAAGTTATATAAGCTGAAGTGTAGATCACAAAGTTAAGAGTATATAAAAATTCATATAATTAAATGGTTAGCATTAAAGGGTTTGAAATCTATTCCAAAAAATATGCGGTTAAATTCTCTTTTACAGATTTGAACCCCTCATTGATAGATATATTGGTAGATATTTTCCCTTCCTACAATAAAACATGAAAAATCAGTGAACTTCTCAAATAACATGGTTTGTATGTACATATTTTTCTCAAAAGATAAATATTATATTTTAAAAATATTAAAATGAAGGACTAGCCAAATAGCTCAGGGGATTAAAGTGCCTGCAAGCAGGTGCAGGGTCCAGGAGTTCAATCCCCAGGCCTGCTGTGCTGGCCCCACTCCTGGGGTGCACTGAGAAGGCAATTGAGACTGGGCATGGTGGCGCATGCCTGTAATCCTAGCTCTTGGGAAGCAGTAAACAGGCAGATAACTAGGAGTCTGATCTAGTAGTGAGACGCTGAACACCCTGTAGACCCTTTCCTAAAAATACAAAAAATAAAATAAAATAAAATGATTCAAAGTTCTTAGGATTTAAACTTATCCTAAATATGTCAGGTTTTTTCTGTTCATACCAACTAATTGCCTTCAATTGAAATAATATTTAATTAGAAATCATCATCAGCAATCATTTCTTCCTCCAAAAAGGCAATAAGAGGGACCAGAATATTCCTTTCAGCATTTAAATTGTGAAGAAAAAAAAATCCACACAAATATGTAGGTTCAGGTCTAATCAAGGAATTAAAACAAAAGAAAAAAAATCGTACCAGCAGATAGAGAAAATATCAGCAGAATGATTGAAATATTAATATTTTGATGCTCTGGACTAAATTTAAAGCAATATAAAAAACTAGATCTAATCTAAAGAAAGTAGCATATCTAGTTTTAGCAAATGTTTAAAATATGAATTCCCAAGCGGCCAGGGAGATGGCTCAGTAGAATAAGCGCTTGCCTGGCAAGCGCAAGTGTCTGAGTTCAATCCCTGGTTCCGAAAAAAAAAAAAAAAAATTAAAAAAAAATATGAATTCCCATCTTCATAAAAAATGGATGTAAAAAACTCCCCTGAAGCTGCATACTAAAATACTGGGATACAATACTCATGAGTATTACTTATAATACTTGAAACTATTATGTTTTATGTGTATAAAAAGAGAAGAAAGAACTAAAGCGTGCTATAGCTAAAATATAAAGTATCCCCAAGAGACTTATGTATTGAAAACACTAATCTCATCAACTAATTAAAGGATTGATAAATTCATAGTCAAATGGGGTATTTGAATGTGGGGCCCAGTTAGGAAAAAAGGTCACAGCAATGTTCCTTTCAAAACATACCTTAGAGGGCCAAGAAGATATCTCAGTAGAATAAGCACTTGCCTGGCAAGTGCAAGGGCCTGAGTTCAATCCCCAGTTCCGCCAAAAAAAAAAAAAAAAGAAAAAAGAAAAAAGAAAAAAGAAAAAAAAAAAAACCTATCATTAACCCTTTCATTTTTCTCTGGCTTTTTTCTCAGCTTCCTGGCAGCCATGAAGTGAAGGTTCATTCTGCCCTCTACCATGCTTCTGCCTTGGAGCCAGCCAACTATAGGCTGAAACCTTTGAAACCATGAGCAAAATAGTTTTCTCCCCTTTTACTTCTTTTTTTTCTTTTAAAGAATGAAAACAAATAGCAAAAACAGAGCAACATGCGATGGTGAACATGATAAGAGACGGTGCACATGATATAGAGTTTCAAAATAATAATAAAAATTTAACAATGTTATTATATTAAGGAAGAAAAAATTAATGTTTATTGAAAGTAAGCATTAATGTTTAATTATCAGGACAATTTTGCATGCCTATATTTGTTAATCTGAACAATAGATTTTATGATGAAAATAATGTAAAGTTTTCTCCTTTGAGTTGCGTCAACAATTTTTGTCCCAGCAATAGGAAGTCAATAATATAATAAAGGATATATATATATATATATATATATCTGTCATCCTCTTTGTCATTTCATTTATAAATATATACTTCATCAACCTCTGCCCATATTTCAGTAATTCCTTATCAATCATTCAATAAAATAAAATGAGTGCTCTTTTTGGACCCAAAGCTAGTGAGTACTTGCCCCCATTTTTTTTTGCTCCGAATGCCTTCAGGGCAGGTTTAGCTGGCTTGAGTTGTGGGGATGGAACCACAGCAACCTGAGCCTGACTGCTTGGTTGAAGCCCCCACTTAAAGAACTGAGCTAGGAGGCAGGCCCCCTTGCCCCCATTATTTACCTTCCATCATTTGAATGTTAGTTATGCATCTAGATAAATTTACTTCCACATATTTCCCTTCCTATCATTAATATCAAGTTTTCCTGTGATAGTACTTCCTAGGCAAAGTAAAGTGTTTCACCATTTCCCAAATAATAAATATCAGACTATCTTATAGTGTTAAAGTACAAGTTTTACTTCATATCTTCATAAGAGTTAAGCAGATGTGCATTATGTTCTAGATCTGACTTGACTGCAATACTAGAGACATTAAAAAGTTTACTATAAAAATTTAATAATTTTCTATATGTATTGATATAATTTCTTCTTTTGATCATTAATACTTAATTATGCAGTGCGGGAGTTTGAAGAAATTACTATATCATCCACAAAATTGACCTTAGACAACATTTAATGTTGCTCTAAAGTTAGTACCAACATATTTTGGACGTATGAAACTTTTTTTCAATATTTTTTTAAAGGTAAAAAAACATATTTAAGCAAAAGGCAAGGTTTCAAGCATAGAAGGTAACTGACATGATAAAAGATAAATATACTTATTATATAGTTGAACTTTACATTTCAGATCAGTAACATGGCCCAGAGAAAATTGCTGAATGTTGGTTTAAAGTTAGGAGAAGACACTTAGAAGTATTCCTCATTAATAGGTGATTTATCAATTATTCATTCTCTAAGAAAAAAATCATAAAAGAAATAATAAACTACTTCTAGCTGTTGAGATAAGGAAAAAAGTCTTTCAAGCTAACACAAAACATGCTCAATTAGTAATTTTGTTGTACATTAGAATTGTTTAATTCATATGTGCTTACCGTTCTCGGTTAAATTTAAGAGAATGAAGGATAGCTGGTCTTTTTTGTCTAAGGTTCCACAAATGAAGTGTATCATCTGAACTTGCACTGACCAAAGCACCCTGTAACAAAAAGAATACAATGTTAGTGTGTCCTCTTACTTAAGAAAGCAAAATTAGCAATCTAATTTACTGAGTTTTTCATTCCTTAAACAGGTACTTGTGTCTCTTTAAACTAGAAATATGAAGAAGCATAACTGCATATCTTTAAAATAGGAAGGTCAATAATGTCGAAAGTGAAACAAGCAAGTGACTCGTAGTATATGGATAGTTTGAACGATTAATTCAATGAACATCCATTTACTCATAGAGAGGAAAAAATTAATATAACATCATAGTGACTATTAAAATTTTTTGTTTATGCTTTAGAAAACATGGAATTGAAACTTTTTTCTTACTCTTCACATATACACACTACATACTCTTACATAGAAACAAATAGACAATCCAGTTTTATAAATCAAATACAGAATATACAAAAATTCTCCTTAGAATTTTCTTTTAATTGAAAAAAATATTTTACTAAAATATATAACTGGTTTAATCTGCCCAAAAAGATTCACTTAATATAGATATATATAATAAAAGAAAATATTTCCCCTACTAGATTCAATGTAATTGCAAAAATAATACCAATGTTATCCAATAGCATCAAATACAAATGAATCCTTCATCAAATACAAAGAATTATAATGTTTTATACTTATAATTACAAACAGATGGCCAGAGAACTAGCTGCCACATGAGATAGCTAGATGATAAATAGTACTTCCCTGTTTCATGATCATCTTAAAATATCAGAACTTTTAACAGAATAGTTTTATAACTGAAAATGCTTGCCTTATATCAGAAACCAAAGCTCTAATATAGTATTGACTATTATCTAATAAGTAGTAAGTAGAACCATAGTGATCCTGAATTCTTAAAACTTCTTCAAAAATTTTCTGAAGTAATTTATTACAAATAATCTTTCACAGGGCTGGCCAGATAGCTCAGCAGACTAAAGCACCTGGTTTGGCAGAGTGCAGCGGCCCAGGCTCAAAACCCAGCGTGCTGTGCAAGCCCTGCCCCAGAGGCGCACTGAGACTGTGATTGAGACTGGGTGTGATGGCACATGTCTGTAATTCCAGCACTTGGGAGGCTGAAAATAGGAGAATCACTATGACTCCAACCTGTGTAGTGAGACCCTGTAGACACTATACCAAATACATAAAAAATAAAATGAAATAAAAACAATCTTTTGCAGTCCACAACATATAAAATTTCTAGTACTTACTTCCTCTTTACGAGTTGGATGAGAGGAGACAGGAATTTACATTTCTATCTAAAACAATTCCTAATCTCAAAAATTCCTTTATCCAATGGTGTTTCTCTCTTTATGTACCTACAATTTTAGATTCAGAGAGTAATAGCTTTCTCTAAATAAAATATACACTATAATCCATCAAAATTAAATGTTTATATCTTTTGCATATTTACATATAAATATGTCCAAAGATGTATATATTAATATATATTTTAACATGTCATACCATACAATGATATATGCTACACATGTCATGTAGATTCTGTTTGCTTGCATACTTTATTTAAAACTGTATATATTCTTCTTATACATACACTACAGTTGTTAGAATTCCTTGACAGTACTTAACTACATTTATAATTGATTTTTAAGATAAAAAATAATGATCTCATTTCTCAGAGAGATAGACAAACATTTGATATATGGTAGAATAGAGTATGACCTACAAATTTAATAAAATATACTTTAGAAAATGGATAAAACTCTTGCAGTCATGGCCATTGCAAATAATTTTCTGAACACCACCCCAACTGTATAGGAAATAATTTGTTCCAAGAATTAAAAAATGGGACCATATGAAATTTAAAAGCTTCTACAAAGCAAAAGAAACAATAGAGTGAAAAGAAAAACTACATAAAGTGAAAAAAATTTGTGAGCTATTCCTCAGAGGACTTTTATACAGAATAAAGAATTCAACATAATTAGACTCCCCAAAATAAAAAACCTGATTAAAAAATGGGCACTTGAAATGAAGAGACAATACTCAAAAGAAGCACAAATATCCAATACATACAAATATCCAACATATACACAAATATCCATTACACACATTGGACTATTATTCTCCTATAGAGAAAGATAAGACTGAGTCATTCATAGAAATATGGATGAATCTTGAGAACAACACGTTAAGTGAAATGAATCAGACACACCAATTTAAATATTTCCTGGTTTCTCTTATATGAGCAATCAAAAGTAAAACAAATGAGAAAAAAAACAAAAGATAATAGGAAGTACAGAGATTCTTCTCAAAGAGGGAGATGGAAGAAGCAGGGATAGAAAGGAATGACTGGGGATTAAAAAAAAGAATTAAGATGTATTATTTATGTGTACCAACTCCATACAAGGAATCTCAACATTCTTTAAATAAAATATAGACTATAATCTATTGCAAGCATGCGCAAAATGAAAACAAAAGGGGGATCAAAAAATGGGTGAAGGAGAAAGGAAAGGAAGGGAATATCTATTAAAAAAATGTAATTAGTATGTGTTATGTACCTGTGCCAACTCACCACAAGGAATGTAAACATTTTGCACTACACACATGCTCTAATGAAATTTTGAAAAAGACTATTAAAGAGAAAAGCAATATATGTGGTTAGGCTGGATTATAAAATTTGAATTGATAAGAAAAGAGTATATTGAAGGAAATTTAATGACTAGCAAAGAAATTAAAGATCTTTAGATTTCAAAGAACAAGCCACCCAAATAGCTCAGCAGATTAAAGCACCTGCAAGCAGGCACAGGGGCTGGGATTCGATCCCCGGGCCTGCCGTGCTGGCCCAGCCCCTGGGGTGCACTAATTTGGCAATTGAGACTGGGTGTGTTGACATGCACCTGTAATCCCAGCTCTTGGGAATCTGTAAACAGGCGGATCACTATGAGTCTGATCTAGCAGTGAGACCCTGAACACCTTGTAGACCCTTCTCTAAAATACAAAAAAAAAAAAGACCCAAACAAGTAATTTAGCTATATTATGCTATACGGTTGCAAAAAAAAAGATTTTTGTGCATATAAATTTTTCCTTTAAAATTTAGTAAACTGATAAATACAGAAGGAGTACAGTCTTTTATAAAAATGTGGCCATGAATAATATTACATCATATAATTTATAAACATTTAAAATCACAATATGAAAAGAATACATCACATATATCTTGGACATTCTTAATCCAAAAATCTAAAATAATAATTGTCCCAAATTTAGAAATCTGTTGAGTGTCAACATGATGCAACAAGAGCAGAATTCCAAACCTGACTTCATGTGTCAACTGTATGTATGACATACACATGATCTATAGATAAATTTCATGTGATTTGGATCTCATCCCCAATATAACTCATTATATTCATTATATTAATTTCCCAAAATCCAAAAAGAAAAAAGACAAAAACAAAATCTGACATATTTCTGATCCTAAACATTTCATGTAAGGGATACTCAGCCTGTTACATGATGTGTGTATGTGTCAGTGTATTTCTGTGTGTGTATGTTTTAAAGGAAAGTAGTGTATTATGAATTTTAAATAGTCAAAAAGTCCTTACCTCATTGACCAAGAATTGGAGCTGCAAGACTGCTGCACCACTTTCATGTTGGCAATAACAATCAACACCAGGTCTCCCAAGTCTAACACAATAAAGGTTAAGGATTCTAAATTTCGATTAGCATGGACATCAAAGAGCAGAGTACAAGTAACATTTTAATGAAAGTCTTGGCACAGGGATATAGCTCAGCAGCATCAATGCCTGCCTGGAAAGCACAAGGTCCTGAGTTCAATCCCCCGTACCACAAAAAAAGAAAAAGTCTTACTTACTCATTCTTCTTATTCTTTAAAATAAAGTGTCTAAAAATCTTAGTTTACAAAATTACATAGCAAGATCTTTCATGTTCTAGAAGTTTGTAAAATGAACGACAAGAAAAAAAAATTGAAATTGAGGTTTCCTTCCCAAAAGTAAAACAGAAATTATGATTTTACACATATCTAATTTCATTTCAGATTTAACGGACTAAACACTTTTTCCCTAAACTAAGTTCAAGTTGTACGAAATATTTTAATATCATAAGTGATATAAAATAACTCTTAAAATATTTACGTATGGTCATAAGCTTGATATATATATAGAACTCTCCTGATCATAAATTAAAACCCATAGGACATAAAGAAATATTTGACTAGATAAAAATATAATATTTCTTTGTACAGAATACCATAAAGAATTTTTCAAATGGAAGTACTAGGAAATAACTAGTAACATATTACTAGTTATTACTAGTATTTTATTTATACTAGAAAATTAAAAAAGAGAAAAGGAAAATAGGAGAAATGGAGGTAAGGAAAGAGAATAAGAAGATACTACGGAACAATATTTATTGATATATCCTACAGCAAATTATGGGTATTTGTGTGTTAATTTGTCATCTGTTTATAAGACATAAATTACATGACAATTTTCACTGCCAGCTATAATGAAGAAACTAGTATTTGTTTTACCCTTTCAGTTAAACAGCAAAAATGCAGGGTAAAACCTTGGCTCATGAGCATAATTTGTTTGAGAAACATGATTGTAATCCAAAGCATTGGTGTATCAAAGTGAATTTCCCCCAAAAGAAATAGAAACTCAGATGATTCATTCCCCCAAAATATTGACATATAAATGATTATAAGGCTGTAATACAACACAAAATAATAAAAGAAAATATAAAGCATTAAGAAAAATAAATCAAACTGCACTTAACCTTGAAAACTTTTGTGGATGGTATGAGGAAGTTAAGAGAGGGTAGTTATTATTTAGGGCAACTTTAACTATCACTGGTATGTACTGGTCCAATGGAATCATTTTCTTTTTGTGCACCTTAACCAAAGAATCTATGTAATAACACTTGGTTTTACCTTCTTTGGAGGAGTTTACAGAATTGTGAAACTCCATTGTCACTAAAAAGGTTCATTGCTTGCAATGCTAGTCTTATTCAGGGAGTGCATTTCTACAAAATTTTGCAGCTTTCCACATTTTACGCATTTCCATAATCTAATTTGAAGTGAGATATTTCTCTATCTTTTTCTCCTACTTCACTGAAGAAACCTTCTCCATAATCTCTTGCTGTTGGGAGACAATCTCCCACAATTGGTGGGGGGGGCGGGTAATGGCAAGGAGGTGGGGAGGGTGAGAGGAGAAATAAAGAGGAAGAAAAAACTATTGGCTCAGTTGTGATCATGTGTCATTCAGCATCACATACTACTCCTATTGCAAGACATCATCCATTTAGTAAGTTAAAATTTACTACAAACTTGTGCTCATCTTGTGGAATATTTGCAAAAAAGTTACTTACAATACAAGGTTTTCATGAATGCATATAAATTATGAAACTATAGTTTTTAGACACTGCATACCAGGTGAGCAATGACAGTGATTACTAAAAAAGATAAATAAAAATACAATAGTGAACATATTGTCTCAGCTTACTGCCCAGAGTTTCCAGACCAAAGTAGGGGATGAGAACTCAGTAATCTAGCAGGTTCTCTGAGTTGAGATAACAGGAGTAAGTTTTAGGAGGCCAAAGACAATTAGATTTCATAAGGCAGAGCAACAAACAAACAAAAAGGCAATATAAAAAGAGAACTCAAGATCTGAGAAAGGTTCTTTAGCTCAGTGTTGATGAAGGAACAAGTTTAACAAAATTAAAAACAACTGGAGAAAAAAGCAAACCAAGAAGGAAAGATCTTTTGTGTGTGTGTGTAATTTTATTGGAACATTTTAGACATAGAGAAATTAGATTTAGATATACATTTTATCAGAGAATCTGTACCTGTACATGAGTAGAATAGACCAATATAAAACACAGGTTCTTTAAAAGTAAGTAAAAGAATAAACCAAGGAAGATGAAATGTTCAGACAAAGCCAGGAATTTTTCTATAATTTAGAAAGAAAACTCAAAATGCAAGGAACATCATGCAATGTATACAGAGGAACATTGCCTCAGTACAGAAAAAAATTCAACTCTAGGATAAAGGCTGACTTCGCCCTGTTCATAACGCTAAAAAGGAGGCCACCAAAGAAATCAAAGTTTTCCATATAACTTCACTGCATTCAGAACAAAGATCAAGAATTATATAATCACAAAATCCTATAGAACCCAAAAGGCAAAATGTAAATGTATCACATTTAAATGTATCACATGGACTCAAATATGTAGAAATGCAAAAGGAAAAAATCATAGGAAAAAAATCAATTAATAAAAATAAAATCAGAAAGAACAAAAACATGAATAATAGATGTTAAAACATTTATAATCCTATTTTGAATATGCTGAATAAGGTAAATATTGAACTACTTAAGTAGATATATGAAAGAGCTATTTATAATCTATGACAAACAGAACATTTAATTTTTTAAAAATTACATTAATTACCAAACTTGGACATACCAGTGGAAAAATTCAAATTAGAATTTTAAAAAGACAGGGAGGAGGAAAAATATCAAATTATTTAAGTGTGAATCAATGTCAACTGGCCTATTATAGTTGGACTTGAAAGCATGAAGAAGAAATGGTAGAGTATGAAATATTTGAATAATGCTCAAAATGGAAGAGATTTAATTATCACCAAAAGCCTTGCATCAAAAAGAAT